GAGTTGAGGCAGATTATTCTTAATGAGGCTCATAGTAGTCCATATGCTATGCACCCCGGTGGAGATAAGATGTACCGAAATTTGAAAGAGAGGTATCATTGGGTTGGCATGAAGAAAGATGTCTCAGATTTTGTGGCTAGGTGTTTGACTTGTCAACAAGTTAAAGAAGAGCATCAACATCTATCAGGTTTGTTACAACCTATCAAGATTCCTGAATGGAAATGGGAGCGTATTACTATGGATTTTGTTACTGGCTAACTTATGACTCCTTCGAAAAAGGATTCAATTTGGGTGATTGTTGACAGACTTACAAAGTCAGCTCACTTCATTCCTGTGCGGGTAAATTATACTTTGGACAAGCTAGCGAGATTATATATTTCAGAGATTGTTAGATTGCATGGTGTTCCATTGTCTATTATTTCTGATCGAGATCCGAGATTTACTTCGAGATTTTGGAAGACGCTACATATGGCTTTGGGAACAAGATTGGATTATAGTACATCCTTTCACCCACAAAACTGATGGACAGTCTGAGAGAGTGATTCAGATTCTGGAGGATATGTTGCGGGGTTGCGTAATTAATTTTCATGGTAGTAGGGAGAACTTTTTGCCATTGGCTGAATTTGCCTACAATAACAGTTATCAGACCAGCATTCGTATGGCACCCTATGAAGCACTCTATGGGCGAAGATGTCGCACCTCGATTTGTTGGACTGAGTTGAGTGAAAGGAAGACGTTGGGACCTGAGTTAGTACACGAGACGGAGGACGCAGTCAAATTGATTCGTGACCGTCTGAAAGAGGCATTTGATAGACAGAAGTCTTATGCAGATCAAAGGAGGAAAGATATTTAGTTTGAAGTTGGAGATCAGGTCTTTTTAAAAGTATCACCCTGGAAGAAAGTATTGAGATTTGGGCGTAAGGGTAAATTAAGTCTAAGATTTATTGGACCTTTTTATATATTGAAGATGATAAGACCTGTCGCATATCAGCTTGAGTTGCCTCCCCAGCTCAGTCTTATTCACGATGTCTTTCACGTATCAATGTTGAGGTGATATCGTCCAGATCCATGTCACATCATTTAGGTTGAAGAGATAGAGTTGAGACTTGATTTTTCATATGAGGAGGAGCCCTTCAGATCTTGGAAAGTGATGAGCGAGTTCTTCGGAATAGACGTATCCCGATGGTAAAAGTTCAATGGAGTAACCGAAGCCCTTCTGAAGCTACTTGGGACGAAATTTCTTGTAGAGGGGGAGAATTGTAACAACTCGGAATAAAATTTGGAAAAAAAAAATTTAATCAGTATAATTTGGTAAATTTTGGTGACTAAATAAAAAGTTTTCAAAACTTGTACACTATTTTAGAAGTAAAATAAATTTAGGGACCAATCCATGAATTTAGCCAAAGAGTGTCGGTAGGTTATGTGGTTTTATATATGCATTGCGTTTTTGATTTTAAAATCAGAAACTTTTGTAAACAAAATTCCTCCTCCCGCACCCTTCTTGCAAGTCCGATCCCGACGCCGTTCGACATCCGATCGTCAAATTGAAACCACCGTCGTGTTCATCTTCGACATGTGATCAAAACCCAGTAAACCAATTTTAGCGAAACGCTGCCAAATGCCGTGAATTTCGCGTCAAAGTATCGACGTTTTTTTAGCACCACCGCCGGGAAAATCTTAAATTAATCTTCGATCATTGATCGATTTTCGATACCTCCCGCACCATCATGTTCCTGGTGTCGTTCCGAGTCCGACGATGTCCTCCTTGTCTCCGTGGGCGGCGGCGCGTGAGGGAGGTAGAGCGATCAAAGTTCTGATCGAAGTGAAATCGAGCTCTCCACCATTCAAAAATTTGAACCGAGGTTGGTAAGTGACTCAAAATCGCTTAAAAGAATTTTTGGAAATTTTTGCAGGAATTTTTGGAAGCAGGAGGCGGTCTCACGCGCCGCCCCTGCGCGCCGCCCCTGCGCATGGGGGAGTTACGAACTGATGGGTGATGTTATGACCGGTCCGAACAGGTCTGACCCGACCCGTTGACATTTTGGGAATTATTTTGAAAATGGTGACATTCTGGAAATTATTTTGAAAAAGGTGACATTATTGGAATTTTTGAATATGGACTATTGAACCCGTTTGACCATAACTTTGACCGGCTTTAACCGGCCATTAAACGACCTTTGATTTTGTTCGAGTATACCTATTCTGACATTTTTCGACGTGTCGAATCCGTTTCCGAAGTCCGTTTCTTCAAATTCAAACCCGAAGGCCTCCAAATCATTAGTCAAACCCGTTGACTTTGATTTTGACCAAGAATTTGAATTTTTGAAAAGTCATACTTTATGTTTTTCGACGTCCTGATTCCAATTCCACAATCCATTTGGTCAAATTCAGACTCGAAATCCTCCAAATTGATAGTCAAACCCGAAAAGTACTTATATACTTAAGAATTTTAGCTTTGATCAATTAAGTAAGACTTGGAGTTGATAAATTATTATTGTTTGAAGGTACAAGAGACTCTCCGGATCGTTCGACAGCTCGACCCAACTCTTCTAGATCAGTTAAACCACTTGTGTTAGTATTCACCCGTAAGACCCGTAAATTTTATGATTTTAGAGATTAATTATGTTACCCATTAGTAATATAGTGTTATTATAAATTAGGTTCGAAAACTGTAGCAGAGCGTGGTGAGACCAGCAATCAATAGATCTACTACTTGAACCTATTATCGAGGTGTGTTCCCTATTTATTTCTGAACTGTTTTATTTGTTTTAATATGTGGTACACTGAATTCTTTGGTTACTGTTTTATTGATGCACCGATTTAATATGATGGTTTATGGATTATGACTGCTATCTGATTTTGTTTTGAAATGGCATATGATTACCATGTTTATGGATTTATGGAATTTTTGTCACGGTGCAATTGAATTTTTGGAATACGAATTTATAAAGTACAGCTCTGATCAAGCTTGAAAATTTTACGGACCTAATGTGACTCTTAGGTAGGCTCTGCGGCCCTGAGATCATTCTCAGGTAGGCCCTGCGACCCTAAGATGTGTTCTTAGGTAGGCTCCACAGCCCCGAAATCTATCTTGGGTAAGCTCTCAGGCCCTAAGATGTTCCCTTTGGGTAACTCTTTTATGGGATTTACTGCAGTATAATTTTATGAGATTTACTGGACTATGATTTGTTTAGTGTACCTATCATGATTTTATAGTAATGTTGGGACACACTGAGCCTAGCTCACTTTTCGAAAATGTTTTCTCCTTTCAGATATTGTTGGTTAGATTCACCTGATTGAGCACTTGGAGGATCAACATATCTCTTGAAGTATATCGTATTGTAATGTTTTATCTTTTAAGTTGATACTATTTTGGTAACATAGGCCTTATTTTAAAGTATTGGATTTTATAATGATTTCTCCTTTGCTATTTATATTTGGGTTATCGTAAATTTGGATTTTTAAGACATGTTTAAATTTATTTGTTTTTTCTTCATTATATTTATGAGATGTATTTTTATAGTATAAATTATTATAATTTCATAAACGTCATTTATAATGTGATTTTACCATGATTGAATAATGGTTTCGAAACAATATCTTTAAGAATCATGAATGTGATTCACTAGACTTAGTCGAAACGCATAGATCGGGTATAGGGGGTTACATTTTGTATATTTAAGCCTATATTCTTATGTTATACCTTTCAAAAAAATATTCGTATGTTATAAATATATTATTATATTATAAATATTATTATTAAATTCACGACTAGTTAGATTATGTTCTATTTTTTATATATTTTGTAATTAATTTATTTTTTGTAATATAAAATAATAATTATATTTGGTGTTTTTTCTCTTATTTATCAAAAAAATTATATTTAAATCAATGAATATAAATAAAAAGAATCTATATACAAATTATTGAATGTTTTTATTTAGTTAAAGTGTTTTAAAAATATTTAGAAGTATGATTTTTAAACTTTGCTAATGTTCAAAAATCATAAAAGCAAAACCAATTATCAAAATAAAGTTTAAAATCTAAAATTTAAAATTAATAAAGAAAACTAAGAATAAAAGTAAATTGGATGAAATTATTATGAATTGTTAAAAAGTTTTGATCAAATCGAAATGAAAAAACATACTAAAAATATATATTTTTTTATATAATATTTAAACTATTATTAATTCCTTCAAATTGAGCTAAGACTCTGGAAGATATCAACAAAATTAATATTCAGTTGGTTATAAGCAAATATTTTTTAAAATTTTAAATTCAATATACTTTTACATAAGTTATTTGGGAGAGCATAATGAGAGAAAATCTGAATGTGAAGTTTTATCGTCGGATGAAAATTTTCGATGGTTACAATGTAGAGAAATATATTGGGGTAGTGTATGTGAGAGAGAGGATGATCAGAACCGCGAAGAAGAAAACAAATAAAGAGGTATGGATGAGTTGATGACGGTGGGAAGCAGGGACGAACACATGATTTTAAAGGGTGACAACCTCCACCCGCTCCTTATAGGTACATCCTTAGTTGGAGGGAAAAATTAGAGTGGAGTATGAGCATGGGAGAAATGCTGGCAGGAAAAGTAGGAAAGGTGGAAGGTAGAGAATAAGAACTGAATTAATAAAATATATAAGTTTTGAAGACTAAAATTATTATCAAATCAGCCTCGTCATACATCAGTTTCATTTTAAATGGAGGAGTGACTTGATTGTAACAAAAAATTAATTGAGGGATTCAATTACAACTTTTTAAAATTTGGTGACATATTTACAATTCATAAATAAAATAATTCAATTGTGATTTTTTTAAAATTACGATGACCCAATTATAAATTTTCTCACAATGCAATATTGACGTGGTGTAATTTATTTATTTTAATTAATGAGGTAAAAAAGTTGTGACTTCAATTATTAATTATTTCGAGGGTCAATTTTAAAAAGAAATGCAAGGCGAAGAAATAAATAAGATCTTATTTTTGGGTTAGGCAGAAACTGATATTCGTTTTCAGATTTGATTAAAAAGAAAAACCTACGATTGTCCCATTCGTTTCCATTTTGGCTTTGTTGGGAAACCAATTAAGGAAGAGAAAAAGGACTAAACTTGCCTGAAGGAAGATTGGAGAAAGGCCCAGATCTATGATTGGGGAAAGAAAAAGGAGAGGAGGAAAAGAAGAAGATGACGCTGATGACGATGCTTGGGGCGGTGCAGCTGGGAGCGGCGGCTGCCTGCTTGGTGGTGTTGATCCCGGTGGTGATGGCTGGTTGGCATTTGAGCCGAAACAGGATGTTGCTGTTCAGCGGTGTTCTTTTCATTACTCTGGCTGTTTGCGTCCATTTTACTCCCTATTTCCCTTCCGTTTCTGATTTCGTTACCTCCGTTTCTTCTGTCGTCGTCTTCGATCACCGCTCTTCTTGCATCAATTTGGTTAACGAAATTTCATGGAATGTCATGCCCAGCGTCTCTCTTCAACGTTTCAACGCCACCCACAACATCTCTTCGTCTCTCGATTTGTATGAGAAGCGCTGGGATTGGTCTAAATCCCCCAAGCTCAACGCTTGCGACTTTCAGAAGTTGTCTAAATCCGATGCCTCCGACTTGTTAAATGGTTCCTGGGTGGTGGTCGCTGGCGATTCCGAAGCTCGATTTTTCGCCCTCTCCTTGTTAAATTTGATTTTGGGTGCCCAAACTCAACGCATGGACTCGGTTAGAACTGATTTGTTCAAAAGGCATAGTGATTATAGCATTTTCATTGATGAAATTGGTGTGACATTGGATTTTGTTTGGGCGCCTTATGTTGTGAATTTGACGAATTCGATGATGGGTTTTAAGGCTAAAAGAAATTACCCTGATGTAATTGTGATGGGGGCTGGTCTTTGGCATCTGCTTCATGTCACCAATGCTTCGGATTACCATTTTGCCTTGAGGGTGTTTAAAAGTTCCGTGGTGTCTTTGTTGCCATTTTCACCCGAGTTAGGCATGAATGGGCCACTCATTGGTTCGGTCTCTGTTAAATCTCCCCATTTGTTTTGGCTGGGGATGCCCATGCTCATCAATGGGATGTTGAATACGCAGGAGAAGAGGGCGAAGATGAGCGACGCAATGTGGCATGCCTATGACAGGGCTCTTGGTGACAGTAGGCTCTTACGCCAAACCGGTGGTCCTCTGGTATTGTTGGATATCCAGTCATTGACTTGGAATTGCGGACCACGTTGTACATCTGATGGTATGCATTATGATGCAGTCATCTATGAGGCTGCTGTTCAGATCATGCTAAATGCGTTGCTTATTGAATCTCATCAGAGCCTTTGAAGTCCCCCACAATGGTTTTACAGCATGCTTGGCAAGCGCTCGACCCTTGAGAGAGAAAACACACACACACGGAAGCTCAATTGTCGATAGTGGCTTTGGATTAGCACACGAGTAAACTTTCTGTCACTATATGTCGAAATTCTTTGTTTTTCTAATTCATTTTTCTGCTGTTTTATTTTGATATGATTGAAAGCAAAATATTCACGTACTTGTATACTATAGTCTTATAACAGCGTATGATTCACATTCAATTATGTTCTTGGCAATATATAGCAGCAGCATTGATCTTGCTGATTCCCTCCAGTATGATTCAAGGACATAGCTTTTCTGCATTGGATTTTTTAGTTTTTGTCACATTTTTTAAAATGGCATGTTCCTTTCTTGTTTGTGTTCCTTCTGATACTACTTGAATCGACATGCATTTTAGTTGTGCAGACATTTAATCGGATATGAATCGCTAGCCATTGCCCATGATGGAGCTATGGAAAGTGATTAGGTATCTAATAATGCTTGCATGTGTTAAGAAAAAATAGTTTCTACTCACTGAACTATCCTTAAAAAATAAAAGGAACAAGAATTTCTGTTGCAAAGAATTGTATGTTTCTCTATCTTATTAGAATTGAGATTGTTAATTGTGTGCCGGAGATGGTAGATATCAAGATAGACTCTAAATGTATTTTCTGCCTCCCCTATTCTTGCTCTTATGGGTCAACATGTTGAGGTACATATTCAATGTTTCCCCCCCTTTGCTTAGGCTTTGGGGTACTTTATCATTTGAAGTGTTCAGACGAGTGGTTGTATGCTCTTGTTGGTGCCTCTTCTCGGCATTGGAGGCTCTTTCTTCTTCTTTACCTGGTCGCATACTTCCTTGGCTCTGGGAAATCAGTAACTCTTGAAAAGTTTTTGGATCAACTCATGAAAGTTTTTTTGGATTAACTAATGTTGCTACTGGTTCTGCTACTGAAACTGCAGTTAGGCTGCCTGAGATGCTTCGAACTGCACATGCAAACTTCATAGCTTGTTCTGTAAGCTATGAACTTAAATGATGTTTTGGTCATTGGAGTATGAAAATTGTTGGTACTGCTGCAGAGGGTAATATTGATTGGTTTGGTCGTATGTATTATGGTAAGCATGGTAGTATATCATGCTGTTGAACGAATAAATCAGGGGGATTTTTGGAAGAATATGGGAGGTAGGAGTGGTTATTTTTTTGGGTTAATCTCAATTGATTCTTTATTCTCATGAGGCAGTCTATGCTCACCAGACCAATTGTACCCTTTCTGATTTGGGCGGAGAGATACATATGGTTATTCAAAAGGTTGAAGGAGATAGTGAACACTCTCGGAGACGGAGAGAGAAAGAATCTCCTTCTCCAACCTTGCGTGGTAACTTATATATAAAGCCCTTAGTGTTGGTGTCAGACCTAGGGGGATGATGACTATTTGTACGTTAGTATGATAAATAGATCTGGCTGTTAGATATTAGATTCAACCAATAGATCACTTGAGTCTATCAGTTATCATGTTAAGAGACTGTAGTTCATCGGATGATAAGGAGCTCCGGAGGATGTTTTGAACTCTGGAGGTTTAAGGATTCGATAGGCAAAGAAATGACAGTGAAGATGTGACTTGTGAAGGAGATTCGGAAGACGAGGTACAACAAAAAGAATAGATTTTTTATTCATTATCCTCGAAATTATATATAAAATATTATGGAGAAAGAAAATCTTGATTGTAGCTGTAATTATTATGGTATACAATAAAATTATATACCAAAGAGTATAGCAATAACAATGATAGCTATTACATCTGCGATAAACGCAACCTAACCAATTTCACATCTACAATTGTAGTTTAAATCTCTAGTTTGCTGTTCTGAACTTGTATAGCAATGCATATTCATTCCAAAAGGTTGATTTTTCCTTATTGACAAGAACGATTGAATGTAGCATTTGCAATTTCTTTGCTTACCTCCATATTGTGAAATAGAACTGGAAAACAAACTCTTTTTCAGGCATTTTTCATCATGTGGATAAATTCCTTCTTCATAAAATACAGCAAAAACTCATTCCAGGTGTCAATGGGGCCTGGCAAGCACCAATGAACACAGTCGTTTACTTTGACGTTCCTATTCATGGAATGTCCATAACTATTTGGATGCCCATCTGGTCTCAACCACATGATTTCAGTGGTGTTTATCAGCTCAAATCTTAGCCCCTTTTTCATCCCTTCTTTCTCAGCATTTCTCAGTTCCTCCACTTGAGTCAAGTAGAACTCCATGTTATACTCTTCCAACTTCATTTCTCCACTAGTAAAGGGTCTTGTTCTAGCACATTTCCCTCCCTTATCCCAATCTCCATTTTCAAAATGGGATGCTGAAAATGTCCTTAAAAAAGCTAACCCCTTGTAGTTTTCAAGGCTAAGAAGGGTTTTGAAAGCTGTTCTGAAGGCCATTTTGTACCCATAATACCTTGTAAGGCTAGTAATGTTATTTTCACTGCACTTGTGACACCCAACAAGTTGACCATTTTGGTAGAAAAACAGCGGGCGGAAGAACCATTGTCCTGCTGATATGATCACATAGTTGAAATTCTCGATCTCATTTGCCCATGCTTCATCAGCTTCATCCAAGTAAAGGCTCATTAGGCTGTTGAATGAATGCCCATCAGGGTCTGCATCTCTGGATTTGACCAAGAAAGGTGACCAAAATGCTGCTAGAGTGAAATTGTATTCACCATAGAACAAACGTTTGAAATAGTTCATGTCTGATGAAAAATTATGAGAAATGTCCTTTGCATCTGCAACCTGAAAGAAACAGAATAGAGGAAGCAAAACATGCATCAGATTCAGGGTTCAAATGCCAAGAAAATATGGCTAGGGACTTACATCAGCTAAGAGGCACAATAATGATTGCATTTGGTTCCTTCCTACTGAATCACCAACGAAGGCCATGGACTTCCCTCGGACAATCTCTAAGAACTGAGTTGCATTAAAGAGGGGTAGTTCACAGTCAACAGGCTTCCATCTCCATTTCATGAACTCGGTGTCGGGTCTCCCGAATTTGATGCAATTGTGCTGATTGATGATGAGGCGGCAAGTTTCATTGGTATAGTAAGGACCTTGTGGGTGAGGCACCCATTTTCCATTAAACACATCACATTTGTTATTCAACTCTATGCTTCTCGGGCTGCTACTGTTGGGGGATGCCAATGGCGGATGGGAACATTTCAGGAGACCTAAAGGGATTGAACTGATGAAAATCAGGGAAAGGGTTGAAAGAAAAAGCTTAAGGCAACTGCTTTGATGAGAGTTCTTTCCATTCGGAAGTTGTACGAGATGAAATTTCATGGTGGATAAGTTTGAAGCAAGAAAAGTTTAGTGATTTGTTCAAGTTATATGAACTGAAAAAAAATATGGCATTTAAAACTGGTTCTTGAGGTTATGCTTGAGTGGAACCAACTAACTGATAATCATGAGTCGTCAAAATAACATGAGTTTGGCAAAGCATCATCATGAATACTTGGATACTTAACACGATGAGAGAATCCCAATGCTTTTTTTTCTTTCTTCTTTTTTTAAAGAATTCTCAGTAGATTGAGTTTGGACTAAATCAATTTACATAAATATTATAATTATAGTACGAAAACATGGGAATTCACTTCTGGTATTTCTAAAACAAAGTCTCTTTATCTGTTTTGGTCCACGGTTTTTGAAGGAAAAGTACCAACTTTGCCTTAGCATGACTATTTGAAGGTTAAAAAGTTCATTAAGGAATCTAAATTTGATGTTGAGAAATGGGATGCCAAAACATGATTTTGCAGTCAAAATCAATCAACTGATGTGTTATTGGCATTTCTCTTCATAATTTATTTTGGTTCAAACTCAGACACATCCGACAGATCATCTCTTTTTGTTATATTTTCATAATTATGTGCGTCCACCTTTGGTTTTCCCATAACTTCAATTATCAGACAACTATCTGCAGGCTGCAGCTAGGGAAGGAATGGACCGAGTCGCTCTCTCCAAAATTTTAAATTATCATATATTTTAGATATTTTTATTGATAATTTGTTTTCACCATTAAAATTTTATAAAAAATTTTCTCTTAAATTTTAAAAATTCGTTCTTCAACATAAAATTTTACATCTACACGTAATTGCAGCAATGATTAGACCAACCTAGAGCCACACCACGTTTGCCCTCGCTTTAAACCTGTCGCGGCCCCAAAGTCAAAATTGGTCTTTCATAATAACTACTGGTGCTACGTTGGACAAGCGTGGCTTAGCAGCAAAGCAATTGTTGATCCCAAAATTTTACCACTGCCTTTGCCAATATCATCTTTATATTACAATAAAATAAAGCTTTAGTTTTAAATTCAAAATATCAATAAGCACACAAAATTTTAAAGAGTTGAAAATTAATTAATAGTTCTCTCTTTTACATTTTCTATTTGTATTTACACTTAGAGATGGAGTTGAGATTGAACTATAAAGGAGACAAGTTGTTTAACTTTAAAACATAGGGTATTTAAAGTTGAATAAATCATAAAATTTGAAGAAGTTACATTTCAATTTCGTTAATTTTAAATTTGAAAGTTCTTCAAGAATAATTAAAGGTAAAGATATAAATTTATTTTAAAAATGAAAGTCTTAAAAGTAATTAAATCAGTAAATTTTAAAAAAGAATATAGACTTAATTATAATAATTTTAAAAATATTAATGACCTAAAAATAATTAAACCATAAAAATTTGTGCTGGCAATTGCCTCTCTCACCCATAACGTAGATTCATTAACGCCTATTATTTAAAACATAAATAATATTATATCTTATAAAAATATATATGAGTATACGAACTTTTATTATTATAATTACACGGTTTTTTATCATCTTTATATATTTTTTTACTCGTATAATATAAATTATTTTTTATTATATTAGGAACTGTTCACCTTTATTTTATTTATTGTTTATATACTGTTTTTATTCGCTACTTGTTTATACTTTTAATTTATAATCATTTGTCTTTGAAGTTATTAAATAAATTTATTAATATGCAGTAAATGAGTTAGGATTCAACTAGCTTTTTAATTTTATACCTTTTTAGGATCGTTGGATTAGAGAAATCAAATATTTAGATTAACAGTAGAATGAAAAGATGTTCACTAAAAAAATGAGTTAATCTAAACCTTTGATTTTCCCTCATCTAATGATCCTAAATGGGTGTAAAATTAAAAGTTTTACACTAAATAAATTATTTACTAAGTATTTAATTTTAACTAATAATTTTATTTAATAGATTTTCAACCTCTAAAGGCAGATGAGTTGAAAATTAATTATAAGTGAATATATTTCTTTTAAAAAATTATCTAAAAACACGTAACTTAATTGATTTATTAAATACTTTTAGGATTATATTATATTTAGTTCACAAAATATAAGATTACTTTTGAAAATGGGTTATGAAATGCAAGTTGATTTTTTTTGTTAAAAAATAACAGGAGATAATGCAAAAATTAATAAAATATTCATAATAATAAATTTAGATCTTATTTTAATTTGATCCTAATTGTAAAAAAAATAAAATTTAATCCATATAACCTATTTTCTAGTTGTTTTCCCTACCATCTCCAAAACACACACCAACGACAACTCCGACCACTTCACTGATACTTGCAACCAACACATATTCAAACATAGATACGAAGTTATGGTCCTTCAAAATTATACAAAGATAAATTATGCCCACATTGAACATATATAATACCAGAGCCTGTATTACATACCCGATTGCAGAGAAATACATACCATATTAGAAAAGCCAAATGGTACAGTAAAGAGCATGAGAATACAGTTATGAATCAGTTGCTCCATACATGCCTAGTTTTTACATCTCCTGCCTATAGTGCTCACCCGGCCTCGGAAAGTGAGTCGTCACCACGGTCTCAAATTCAAACAAGTATTGTTTTACGGGAAGCAGGCTCGCCTACCAAGAACATATAAGTTTTCAGAGATCTGAAACACTATAAATTGATGGAATACTACCTAAATATGGCATAATTCTTAGTAAAATGCACCATATGCCAACGGCCATGAAGGTGCAACTGGAAGAATGTAAGCTCCCAAACAGATAGCATACAATAAATTCCTAGTTGTGTTACAGTTACCCCTCAAAAAGCTGTTGAGACTTGAGAATACCAATTAAATTATGAGGTAAAAGTAGAAAGAAAAAGTACTAAATTACCATCCATGTACAAATACCATAGTATTAAGATATACAAACCGAAAAAGAGGAACCTAGTCTTTATGCGGAAATGAGGAGCCTGGTCCTTGTTTAGACCGACATAACAACTAAAATGTTACTGGCTCATTTAAAAGGAGAAAATACTGTAAAGAGAGGTTGACGCAGAAACTAATTCAATTTATCATTTCGAAACAGCGATCCAATTTTTATCAATAGTGCTTAAGGTTTAAGCAGATAATCTAAAGCATTCTGAAAGATCCAATAGGCAGGTATAGTATATCTAGTATCAAATCATGTATCAATTCATGAGTACAATACAGTTAGCAAATCACAATTTATCGCAAGTTATTAAACAATTAACAACCTCCTAGATAGTAAATTAAGATTTTAGAATCCAAGAAATACCTGACATAATCCTTTATGAACAGATCCTTTCAATAATTCAACCTCTAACCACAATGCGTCAGATTTTCTCATATAAAGAAGCAAAAGACATGCTAAAAAACCCATTTCCTGCGTTTTGTTGAAACTAATACATTAATTACTTATACAATATTTACGAGGACAAAGGCATGGGAGACAAACCTGGTCATAGCCTATGGCCTAAATGGATGGAATATGTCTTCAAAGAATAGAGGATCCTTTTGGCCAGGTCCATGTCTCTTCAGAAGGAAATCATATGGGAGGAAACTGCAAGCCAAATCCCACAAATTATATCAAGTACAGAAGCTACTGAATTATAAATTACAAGTTGCTCTAACTGATATAAATTCATAAGCAAAGCAAGTGTAAGAACGAAGAAGATCGTTACTGTAATTTAGAATAAATTTTGAAAAACAGAAAAGGAAAATAATTTTTAAGCTCAGAAAACAGCTTGAGTCCAAACAAGAAAAACATTTCCCCCTCTGACAAATCAAATATGCAAATAACTTTTTTTCCAACAACCTAGCCCATTAGCATCAACCAAACTTTATATTGATATGTTCTGTCAAACAATAAGCAAGAATAAACAGAACAAAAACGATTCAGTGAACCTAGAATTCAAACTGGCAGACATAGCTTTTTGGCACCACCAACACCTGAAAATGCTGATCCATATGCAATTTTTTTTTTGATAAAAAGGAAGGCCTCATTAAAAAATCCCTTCACATCCGTCAAGCAACAAAGACTTAAAGAACATTGGAAGGAGGAAAAGAGTGCCTTAGAAATTTTATTGCATAAGAACCAAGTACAAAAAGAACACACTACCACCAATTACCCTTGGTAGCACTCAATACTGTGCAATGATGCAATACAATTATTCATAAGTCAATACCCTACACAAAATTACCTCCTAAATAACTCAGCCTGGAACAAACTTAAACAATGACCAAAGCTGTCAACTAATCCCAAGAAAACAAAACAGCAACATAAATAACTCCCCTCCAATTAACCAATCTCTAGTTTGGCGAATTTATCCGCTTCCCAATTAGCTGCTCTCACCACATGACGTCCAATAACACCTTTTTCAGCCACAAACTCTGTGATATCTTTAACTAGGGGTAAGAACATCGGGTGGAGCTAGCTGGATTTTTTATCCAATCCACTGCCACCGCACTATCGGATTCCAAAATAAGCCTTATGTTTGCCGACATCCCCAAATCCAGAAACAGATTCAATCTCTCTTCATAGCCATCAATTCTGCCATAATACGAGGCCTGAAACCAATATTTTCAGAGAACAAACCCAGCAACACACCTTTCTCATCTCGAATCATCCCACCAACGCCGCCCTTCGACCACCACTTGTCCATAACACCGTCTACATTCGCTTTAACAAAACCGGATGGAGGTGGAGACCTACTAACTACCTTTGAAGACCTTTTTTCAGAACACATCACACGATCAGCTAACGCAAGATCCCACACAAGGCTATCAAGAGAGACCATCAGTTTTGAAAATTTCGAAGAAAACCATGCTGCCACTCTGTACCTCGAAAGAAAAGATAGTAGAGCACAATCCAATTTCCCATTGTTAAAAACAATATCGTTTCTCATTTTCCAAATCGACCACATCACGGCTCCTGAGATGAACCCCAAACACTTGATTTGGGAACAAGATCAGCCCATACAGAAAATAAAGCTACAGGGCACTCCGGAATTGCAAAGGAAACCTCCCAATGACGCAAAAAGCTAGCCCATAATCTCCAAAATACTTTGCAAGAAAAGAAAAGGTGGGAAACCGATTCTTGAACCAACCCACAAAACGAACACGAAAGATCTTCTATACCTTGCACCCCACGTTTTATTAACTCTGCTTTGACAGCAACCTTCTTGTGCACCACCTGCCAAACAAAAGATTTTACTCGAGGAGCCACACCAGCCCACACGTTTCTTTCCCACAGAAAACTATCGACCAAGTTATCAAGAAATTTTTTAAGACAAGATTTAACTGAAAAGCACCCATCTCCTTCTCTTGTCCATACAAGACTATCATCAATCAATGGCAAAGGACTGAAATTATACAACAAAACCATAAGCTCATTCCATTGCAACAACTCCCAATCGGCTAAGTTTCTCCTCATGGCAATATCCCAAAAACAACCTGACGAGTTAGAAATCCTGAAATTGGCAATCTTCCCCTCCTTGTTGATTGATAATGTGAACAAACGAGGAAACTGAATCTTCAGTGAAACTCCATCCAACCAAACATCGTGCCAAAACTTGATTGAGTCCCCATTACCCGCTTTCAGTTGAAAATGCTCCGCAAACATACCCCAAACTCATCATCCGAACAACAATTCTTCATGACCCCTTTCCAAATCCAAGAAGCTTTATAAGAGACCGAACTCTCCACCCCCATAGACTTTGGGTTAATATTGTTTATACAACAAATTATCCTTTTCCACCAGGAGTTTTTCTCATTGGAAAACTTCCAAGTCCATTTTCCCAATAAAGTTGTATTTATAAGATTTAGATTAGGAACCCCGAGTCCTCCCAAAGCCTTAGGCTTGCAAGCAATCTCCCAATTTACCCAATGAATTTTGTTTTTAGCGCCTGACTCCCCCCAAAGAAAACTTGCCATGATTGAATTAAGTCTCTTCAAAACACTCCTCGACAGTTTGAAAATCGACATGAAGAAGATTGGTAGGGAGCAAAGAACCGACTTTATCAACGCGATTCTACCAACGAAGGATAGTGAGGCTGACTTCCACCCCGACAATTTTTTATAGAATTTTTGAATAATCGGATCCCATAGAGAGACTGAGTTTTTCTTCGCCCCAAGAGGTAACCCCAAGTAGTATGTTGGGAACGAACCAACAGTGCACCCTATTACTGCAGCCCACTCACAAATGGCCTCGTCATTCACATTAATGTTGAATAATCTGCTCTTCGAAAGATTAATCTACAACCCCAACATCAACTCAAAGATCATAAGCACCCTCCTCGCATTCTTCAAATCCCTAATTGAGGCATTACAAAAAATTATCAAATCATCAACAAATTGAAGATGAGAGAGCTCAAAAGAATTTCGCGGACTCTCAATCTCAAAACCTCTAAACAAGCCTAACCTCACTGCCTTTGACAACATCAAGCTCAAAAGTTCACCAACCAAATTAAAAAAAAAAAGCGGAGAAAGAGAGCAACCCTGCGGAGACCCCTCACGATCCGAAATTCATTCGAAGGAGAAACATTCACCAACACCGATATGGAAGCTGTAGAAACGCACTTTTTCATCCAAGATCCCCATATTTGACCATATCCCATGCAATCCACTATTTTCATAAGTAAACTCCAATAAATTGAATCATACGCTCTTTTGAAGTTAACCTTAAACGCAACTCCTTCAAGGCCTTTCCTCCTCCAACATCAATCCCCTCATTTGCAATAAAGGAATAATCCATAATTTGCCGACCCGGGATGAAAGCAAATTGGGAAGGACCAACGACTGCGTCCATACATTGTTGTAATCTCCTGGAAAGCACCTTTGACAAAATCTTGTACAAACCACCCACAAGGCTTATCGGTCTAAAATCCTCGACATTTTCCGAACTCATCTTTTTCGGGATTAGGGTAATGAACGAGTGATTTACCCCTTTATCCCAACTTTTAAAATGATGTTTAAGTCATAACTGTTGATTCAACATGAGCTAAATTACCATATACATAATTCAGGTCAAAGCTGGAATCCAGAAAACAAACCACAATAAAAGTTGAATCACTTAAAACATCAGGAAAACTAGGAACCTTCTTAGATGTTCAAACACGGGCTAGTACTCACCACAGAAAGAAAATAACACCCCTGATTCCAGATTTCGTTTTGAATCCCTGCATGATGTCTAAAAGGCTCTGGTTCAGACAACTGAATTTGGCTCTGCCACTGAAATCTAAATTGGACTCCACAGGCATATATCTCAACTCTCAAATAAAGTGGACTGTTAAACAGTTCTATATATGGGATTGAAATTCAACCGTAATGAAATCTTGGTATAATTTAAAAAAGGGTATTTAATGGACTAGATAGAACCCCCTTAAAATGTTCAGACCCTACCTCACCAAATAGTTTACAGACTGTTAAAATTGTTTTCCAGTTTATGGAAGAAAGTTAGGTAAAGCTAGAAGGAGCAGTCATGAATTATACAGTCAACAAAGTGAGTTTAAGTTTGGCTATATCATCCGATCCATTACAGAAAATCCTAAGAATACTGAATTCAATCAAATCAAAATCTCTGGTATAATTTTTACTTCTAATTTATGTACTAATAGTTCAGCGGTCGTCACTCCCAATATGTTCCTGATCTGGCATTAAAACCAATTTTGGTACAAATTGAAAGTAGTGTTATAGCTACCTCAATTCCCTAATTGGGCTGAATATTTTATGACATTTCAAGGAAACACATTATTCTAAGTCAATGTGCATAATTCTTCGAAAATTGCATCTTCCAAGCAGATTGAGTAGGACTGACCCTCCTGTCCACCATTTACTAGCCTTCTCCTGAAGCAAACACAACAAAACAGTCAATAGTATATATTGCAAACCATAACCATGTTCACATAACCTATTAAGAAGCAAGAACAGAAAAGAAAAGCTAAGTCAAGCTTACGTGAAGTTGGATTTTGGCTTCACAAGCTTGGTCTTTGACCATTTTTGAGTCGACATAAATTACTTTAAAAAAAATACAAACTGGAGTTCTGAGCTTCAGACTAAGTTTTAAAGAAATTTATAATGTCTCATAACCAGTTCACTTCTAAACATCAGTGTAACCACATGGAAGACTAACTGTGATGCGTCTTGTTGTGAACAGAGCACTATAAAGCATGGAAGGTTAATTCATGACTGTAAATCTCCCTTATTGATATCCTTCAAAATACTCTTAGAAATTAATCCCCTCTGAGTCACATGATTCCAAAAGAAACCTAAAATGCTACTGTCACCAGCATATGAAGCATTGAAAGATCGATAGATTTTGAGAGTTATCATCAACCTCCTCTTATACATTTCATTCAATAGATCTGAAGCAGCATTCACCTTCCCCATTTTCCAGTAAGCATATGCTAGGCTAGTATATATTACACTATCTCCCGATATACCTTTTCCTTGCATAAGAGTGAATATTCTTTCCGCACAATCAACCCTTTCTTGCTTACAGAACCTCCTTATGAGTGCCCTGTACACTGAGACATCAACACAGAGGCCTCTTTTCAAAAATTCATCTGGAAACTTTATAACTTTTTCTTCTTTGCCTTGGTTGCAGTACCCATCAACAAGCCAGGAGTAGGTGCAATAACTAGGAGAAAACCCTGCACCAAGCATGTTAAACAAGTAATCTTTTGCACTATCCATTTCACTCAACTTGAAAAATCCATGTATCAATGCCTTGAACGTAAATTGATCCAACTTCAACCCGGCCTCCATCATCTTGTTCTTCACTTTTATAGCAGATCCCATATCTCCAATCTTGCAATATGCATTGATCAATGTGTTACAAGTCACATTATCAGGTTCAATTTTCTTTTCACTCATCTCATTCAAAATCCAATTAGCTTCCCTTATTTTACTTTCTTCACACAACTTACGAATGATTGAATTATAAGTAACAACTCCAGGATAAATCCCCTTAGCCTCCATCATATCCCGCAATCTTAAAGCTTCTCCTACATCATTCACTCTACAATAACCATCAATTAAAGTAGTGTATGTCACATGGTTAGGACTAACACCTTTAATTTCCTTAAAGAGTCTTAAAGCCTCTCGCATTCTACCTTGCCTACAGAACCCATAAATAAGTGAATTATAAGTTACAATATCCGGAGTAATCCCTGCTCTTTCCATCCTATCTTGCACACACAAAGCTTCATAATGCATACCCTTCTTACAATACAAAGCAATCATTGTATTGAATGTAAAGCGATCTGGAAAAACATTCTTCAATTCCATTTCACTCAATACATTTTCAGCCTTTTCGACATCACCACCCTTGCAACAAGCATGAACCAACACATTGTAAACGTGTAAATTCCCGACCACCCCAAGTCTAACCATTTTCTTATAAACTTTCCAGACGCTATCAATCAATTTTTCTTTAGCCAGACAATTCAAAAACACAGTGCAAGCATGTAAATGAGGCTTTAAACCATGAACTCTCATCGACTCAAAAACTTGTAAAGCATCTTGGGTCATTCTCAATTTTCCATAAGATATCACCAACCAACTCAAAACATGAGAATTCACTTCAACGTCAGAGTGAGTACTGATCAAGGCATTCAAAACGGAATTTGACGACAAGAAATCTTTGTTAGAAATTTTGTCGAGCAAACTGTGCGCTGTCTTGAAATGTTTGTGCTTCGTAAGAATGTGAACCATTGTCCACGTAGATTGCAGAGAGTGGTCATGGCTGGGTATAGAATTTTTTACCCATTGAAAAAAAGACCAAGGAAGAGAAGCACCGGAACTGAAAGCAGAGAGCCGGAGAAGGAGGTCGTTAACGGTGGTCGAGCTTATTTGGATGCAAATTTTGGGTTTCAAAAGATGATTCCAATGACCCTTCAGGATAATAGCAAAAATGGTTTGAGTGAATCGAGCTGAGTTAGCCATCAGTCGCTACTTCTCGCCGTAGGCGTCGAACTCTGTTTCGATTGTTTCACTTCTGCGGGCCGATACCCAACCCTATAGCTTCAATATATTCGAGAGAAATCAGATTTTTTTTACTAAAAAAGGGTAAATACCCTATTTGGTACAATACCTATTTCCGCATTTTCTATCACCCAATTATTTTTTTTAAATCATACTTAATATTATATTTTATTTCTATTTTGGTATCTTACTGTTAAGTTTGATCATTGACTAAATGGAAATGATGATGCGACATGATACAATAATAATTTTGGTCTTTGTAGCTTGTACACTATATCAAATTGATCTTAATTTAAAATAATTCAATAAACCCTTAATATTTAAAAATCCTACCAATTTGATCTTCATTTTAATTTAAAATAATTTAGTAATTTATTATTAATTTAATAATAATTTTCAAATATTAAATATTTTATTGAATAATTTCAAATTATGACTAATTTGATTGAATATGTAAGTTTTGGGATTAAAACTATTATTATACCATATCATGTTACTATTTTCATTTAATTCCACATTCATTCATATTTATTGCGGGTATTAAATAGAAACAAAACATAATAATAATTATAATTTAAAAAAAATACTTGAGTGATCAAAACATAAATGTAAGAATATGTAAAGTGCCAAATAGGTAGTTAACCCAAAAAATAAGCATAATTTTTTTAAATACAAAAAAAAAACATAATGTCAAAGAAAAAAAAAAGGTCATTCATATTTATTCTTTTTTGGAACATTAACCCTTAACATTTCATTTTAGACAAAATGATCTTTACGTATATAAAAAATATTAGTCAACAAACATTTAACATCTAAAGATGATGTAGTGGATACAATTAAACCATAATATTAATGTGACAATCCATGTGTAACAAAATAATGATATAACATATCATGTCGATAAATTTATTTTTCAAAAAATAATTATAATTAAATTATAAATTAAATTAATCACAATTAATCAGATGACAACCTAAGTCATCATCTAATTGGCACTTGTCACTAGGGCTGTAAATGAGACGAGACTGATCGCGAGCTACTCGAGATCGACTCGATCTTGGCTCGATAAATACTCGGATCGAATGGACTCGACTCGAGCTCGAACTCGACTCGAGTTCTTAACGAGCCGAAACGAGCTACTCGATATTCGACTCGAAAAGCTCGTGAGCATCTCGAAAAAATATTATATTATAATTTTATATTTTTTAAAATTACATTATTAAAAATATATTAAAAATACATTATTGATGAATAAATATTCTTGAATTGAAAATGGTTAAAAATTATTTTTGAATAAATATTCTTATATTTATTTTAAATTGATAAAAAAATTATTTCTCTAATGACAAATATTTAATATATTTCTAATGAAAATATTTGTAATAACTAATTTTTTAAATTGTTGTTATATTTTGAGGTTTTGGGTTCAAATATCATAAATATCAAGGGTTTGAGCATTTAATATTAAGATATTATATTGTACTTACCTCATAACTAATTATGTGATCAGGTTTAGGGTTTAGGATTTAGAGTTTATGTGATAGGATTTAAGGTTTAAAGTTTAGAGTTTATGGTTTATGTGTTAAGGTTTAGGGTTTATGTGTTAAGGTTTAAGTTATGCCATGAAGGTAACATATAAATTATGCAAAATGATGTTATGTGGCTCATAAATAAATTATTCACATACTTATACATAAACATATCAACATGCAAAATAAATATACACAACTAATTAAAGAAACAATCATAAACAGAGACTAAATTAAGAAAAATCTAAATGTGAGGACTAATTTAAGCTAAAATTTAAATAATTGAGGGACTGTTTTGTACAAAACGCATAAATCTAGAGAGCCTAAAGCTAATTTACCCCTAAGGATCAAATTCGAGTTTGAGTTCGAGCTTTAATCGAGTTCGAGCTTGAATCGAGCTTGAATCGAGCTTGAATCGAGCTCAAAATCGAGCTTCAATCGAGCTCGAGTCTCGAGCTTCAATCGAGCTCTTGAATTTTTTTTGAGTTCGAGCCTTTTCGAGTTCGAGTCGAGTTTTAATATTATCTTTCGAGTTCGAGTCGAGCTTGAAAATTTTAGGCTCGCGAGTTTTCGAGTCGAGTCGAGCCTACATTTAAAGTTTTCGAGTTCGAGTCGAGCTCGACTCGGCTCGTTTACACCCCTACTTGTCACCCTGGCACCATTCACAACCTCAACACTTTCCCAAACATCAACCCATAAAATTTTCGATTAAAAAAATATCATTTTTTTATTAAGCTAAAGTGATTATAAAGTAATATTGTTTTAATACTCTCTCAATCATTTGACAGTGAACGCTCAGTCATCCTTACAGTCGCTGATGCTCAAACTCATGACCTTTAGGAATAACAACAATTCATTTAACTATTGAGATAATTTGGTTCGTGAAAAAAAAATTATCATTTCTAAAACACAACTACTTAATTCCATTGATAAACAATATCATATACAGAGCTTCAACACATGCCAAATTACAATCCAAAATACCCAAAAATAATATATTCGTAGTTAAGAACAAAATACAAGTAAAGTCCAAATAAATACACATGTTCCCTGAAAGATCAACATTGTATTTTGAAAAGAACACTAACAAGATCGATAATCCTATGAACAAAAAGAATTTGAACATTAAGTTTTACGAATTTAATAATACACAACTACTATATTGTAATTAATAATTCATAAATATAAGCGTGAAATCAAATATATGCATAGTGTATGATATAAGCATTTATGACATATATAGCATGTCAAAACAATCATTATTTTATTTCATACTATAGTAATTTAATTTGTAACACCCTAAATTTGGTCCACGATATGATGAGCTAAAGATGTCAAACTAAACCACCAAAACAAATTTCAAATTATAATATGTTTCTCCTGTTTATTTTAGAATCAAATCATAGATATAATATATCAAAATAAAGATATTCATAACAATGATAAAATCATTAATACAAAATTGGAACTCAATGACAATTTGATATAAAACTAAAATAAATCAAATACTAATGTAGTTTATAGACCAATATACTAATATACAAATAGTAGTCTTATGAATAAATCAAATTTCTTCATCTCTAACCTTAATCCTCATCCTTATTACAACTATCATTATCAAAAATCACCACTGTTTTCGGCAATAGTTCGACCTTCATGTATTTTATTAACAGATGAAATAGACACTCAAGAAATCTCATGAGATCATCGTCGTGTGGTGCTACACCATCTTATATTTGTGCACCATTATCTAATCGTGTCGTTGTCAATCCTTCATCGAATCTATTGCCTTATTGGATCTTTCTTTAATTTAAATATGTTGCATCTCTTAACTTCCTTCAACCATCATTACGAGTTCAATTCCACTTCTCTCTTAACTCTCTCAGTCACTGACCTTCCCTGCACAACTCGTGACTACCTCAGAGCCATCCATCGCACCTGTCATGTCTCAGTTGTCTGTGAAAGTCAGCCTCCAACCTTTATCCTGACCCTCTATTTGCATTCTACCCAATGTCTCCAACACCCCTACCCTATGACCGGCTAAAGTTCTGCCCTTCAGCCACGACACACATTTGCCTTGTTTCATCCAACCAGTGCTCTTGCCTTTGGGCTGTTGTGCGTGCTTGTGTTGCCATGCCAGTAGTCTTATTTGATGTGCTCTATTGTCATAGATAATATGGTGAAGCATAAGGAGTCAATGAACTAATATGATTTTATTATTCTGTAGTATTTTGTCTGTGAAAGTCAGCCTCCAACCTTTATCCTGACCCTCTATTTGCATTCTACTCAATTCTCCAACACCCCTACCCTATGACCGTCTGAAGTTCTGCCCTTCAGCCACGACACACATTTGCCTTGGTTCGTCCAAACAATGCTCTTGCCTTTGGGCTGTTGTGCGTGCTTGTGTTGCCATGCCAGTAGTCTTATTTGATGTGCTCTATTGTCATAGATAATATGGTGAAGCATAAGGAGTCAATGAACTAATATGATTATTCTGTAGTATTTTGTCAGAAAATTACTTACAATCCCACATGCAAGATTTAGAGGTTTTTATAGGATAGCTTGTAAAATGATTTCAATGAACTATTATGCTTGGGAAACCTTTTTAGGGTCAAAAAAGGTAAATCAAACTATATTTTAGTTAAAAAAAAACATAGTGAAAAGGTAATTAAAACCAACGAATCTATGCTCTTTATCTTTTTCTTTCACCCCAACCAATACCAAAGCCAAGAAAAAGGAAAAGGAAAGTAACAAGTCATTGGAAGCTGATGCTATTTTTTCTCATTTTCTTGGAAAATTAAGATAGAATGTAAATCATTTAGATCATTTGTCCTCATCCAAACCGAAAGGAATAGATACGTACAACTGTTTTATATAATATAATGAACCTAAGAATAAACAATCACTTATGTCGAAGAAACTAAGATTGTTGATATTTTTAATCCTTTGCAGCAGATGTTGGACCACCTGCACCAACTAAGTCTGCTCGGAAGAGCCATCGGTTGGGTCATGAATTTGCTGAGTCTCTCTTTCGGGGCCATGGCAATGGAGCTCCTCGATTCGGGTTATCATCTCGGACATCGAAGGACGTTTGTCCGGATATTGAACCGTGCAATTGACGGCAAGCTGTAGAAGCTTGACCATTTCCTCCTCCACGTTCTGGTCTCTCACAAGTTCGGGGTCGAACACCTCTGCTGTCCAGTCCTCTCGAACTATGGATTGAACCCATCTCGGAAGGTCTACTCCTTCCTCATTCAATAAGGCATGTGTGGGTGCTTTTCCAGTAAGCAGTTCGAGAAGCAGTATGCCGAAGCTGTAGACATCGGCTTCTTGGGAAACTTTGCGAGCATCGGTTACTTCCGGAGCACGGTAGCCATCGACACGGTTGGGAGTTGATGAGGGGCCGGAAAACTGAACAAGACCGAAATCAGATACTCGAGCATCATAGGTCGTAGTGAGTAGGATATTTGAAGATTTGATGTTTCCATGGGAGATTCCTGGTGCCTTAGAATGTAGGTATGCAACGCCTCTGGCAGCTCCAAGGGCAATGCCACACCTTGTGTTCCAATTCAATGGACTGCTTCCAGCTCCTCTGTTACCTGTTCAATAATGATAATAATACACTCATTTGTTAATCATTAAGAAAGAACAGAACATAATGCACTCACCATGAAGAAGTGCAGACAAGCTTCCCATCGGCATGTAATCGTAAACAACGAGTTTCTCGTCCGCACCGAAGTAATAGGCCCTCATTGGGACCAAATTCGGGTGATCCATGGCTCCAACGACCTCCATCTTTTCCTTGAATTCCTTCTCCGATGCCATCACATCCTTTAACCTCTTCACTGCAACAACCACCCCCATCTCCATAGTGGCCTTATAGGCCGTCCCAAATGTTCCCTTCCCCAACACCACAGCAGAAGCCTTCAATAAATCCTCTAGATCGAATAACCTAGATGCGTTACCGAAGAACACCAGTTTTTTACTCCGACTACTCTTAGCAATGGCATCACTCTCCCCTGTTGCTTTATCCTCGCCCTGTCTCGGAGGAGCGATAATCCTTGTCTCCGTTTTCGTAGAACCCTTCCTTTTACATAAAAATACTAAAACAATCAACGTGAACAAAACAACCATCACACAACCAACAGCAATACCAGCAATGGCTGCACCAGACAATTTACTGGCAGTGCCACTATTTTCAGTTCCATTACAAGAAACCAAAGGCTCCCCACATAAAGAATTCCCTTCAAATGCAGTTTTCGGCCTGCTTGATAAACCTTTCGGGATCGATCCGTTTAACCGATTAAAAGAAACATTAAATTGCACAAGTGCAGGCAAGCCAATATCTGGTATTGACCCAGATAAGTGATTGTTCTCCAAATACAAAGTAGCCAACCCAGTCAAATTGTTAAAACTAGCAGGGATTGTACCCGCGAAATTATTGTTTGCGAGATTAAGTCTAATCAAGTTACGCAAAGAGAACAAGAAGGCAGGGATGTCACCGGAAAATCGATTCCCTTGTAAGTATAGGTTCCGAAGGGAAGTAAGCTTGGCGAAGCCGGACGGCATCGGCCCGGATAGAGCATTGAAACGAAGCGAAAGGGTACGAAGCTGTGTTAAGTTGCCAATGGCAATGGGAAGCTGACCTGACAGACCCTTTCCGGGGAGTCTTAACTCCACTACTCTGTTTTGCGCACAAAGTACACCAGTCCAATTACATGCGCTGCTTGACAGATTCCATAAAAGTGGGCGTCCACCCACAGTTGCTCGAAGAGCCAACAAGGCAGCCCTGACGGAAGCTACATCCGAGTTTGTAGCAGTGGCCAACAATGTTGTCCATAACAACAAGGAGAAACATATTATGTTGAAATTCAGTTTCATGGCTTTTGTGGCTGAGAAAGAAAAAAAAGGTTTGATTTCCGTAATTGGAAATGGATTTCCAGAGGTTAAGAGATTGGAACGAAGATGATGATGCAAGGGGTTGTTTGAGAATTTTAGTAGTGGCCAATGCCAATGTGAATGGTTGAAACTAAGAAGGTGTATGCTTTTGGTTTTTCTAATAATGGAAACTTATGAATTCTACAAATCTGGTTTGATTTGATTTCAGTAAAAAAAAAGTAGGGTTAAGGAACTAAAAGGTTGACGTTCAAGATTTTGAGGAGCATCAAGTAGTTGAGGAAGAAAAGAAGCAACGGGATTTATCTTCTTTATTACGTAAACTTCTTTTGGGGGGAAATAATTGTATAATTTATTGCGGAATTATGGGAATTACACTACGTAGTCAGGTTTAACGGGTGACCTTCAAAATTCATTTACTTCTGATTTTCAAAATAAGGTTTATTTTTATGTTAATATATTAAAGATTTGAAAGATTAAATATTTATGATAAAAATATTGAAAACAAAATCTATACAAGGAAAAAATAGCGGGATAAGAAAACTCTGATAATTTGATATAAGATATGATTATTTAATATGAATATGATATTAAAAATATGATAGAAGTAAAAAAATGTTTGAAATTGTTAAATTTGGTAATTCGAGATATGATATTGAAAATAATTAATATAGGGGTTAATACACTTTTAAGTGCCAAAATTATACCTCAAATTGATTTCTGGTATATAAATATGTATTTAACGTTTTCTCCGTTACACTTTTAAGAGCCTAGGCTGTAACGACCGTTAAATTCAGCCGTTAACTGGCACGTGTCGCCCTCATATTTTTTTAAACTTTTTATAAAACAAAACGTAAAATTATTATTTTAAAAAATTCAAATGTTTCAAAAATATCAAAATGACCCATAAGATTTTGAAACTCAAATCATTCAACTCTTTTGTCAATCATTATTGCCGTCGTCGGCTGTATACCCACTAATAGTCGGACTCCACTGCTGTCAAGTCTCTCGTCATCACCCCTAAACAGATTGTCGATCGAAAACCGGCCGCAAATCACCGAAAAATCACGCGAAAATTGATTATAATCACGCACAAATCACCACAAATCGCATGCAAATCGGTCGAGAAGACAGTGGGTGGGCTTCACCAGACTTTGGGTTAAGGATGATCGGTAGTGGGTCTGCCAGATTTTGGGTTAGGAATTTAGGAGTATTTGGGAGTTTTATGATTTGAGGGAGTTTTATGATTTGAGGGAGTTTTATGAAAAAAAATATAGGGGCTTTTTGGAAAAAATAATAATAATTTTGATTTTTTTAAAATAAAAAAATCGAAAAAATATGAGGGTTAAACGTGTCTGTTAATGGTAAAATTTAATGGTTGTTATGTCATTGGCACCTAAAAGTGTAACGGAGAAAACGTTATACACCTATTTTTAGTGAAAGATTCTTTAGACACCATAAGGCAATTTGAGGTATAGTATAGGCACTTAAAAGTGTATTAAGCCTTAATATAATATTGATAACGTACACTAGGAGTGAACGAATCTCAACTCGAAAAACTGATTTTTTGTTTGAATCGATTCGAAAAAACTCGACTCGAATTTGCTTCGAGTTGTAATTTCATAAACTTTACTCAACTTGAACAAATTTCAAGTTCAAGTTGAGTTATAAAATACAACTAGAATAATTCAAAAAGCAACTCGAGTTTTTTTAGTAATTAGTGGATTAATTTTCAAGTTTGAGTAGAGTTCCTCGACTCTATATGATATATGTATATCACTTATGAAAAATATGAAGAAATATATCCGTATTATATATGGTTATAAAAACCATTTAAATTAGAATCGAATAAGATCATAATATTATAAATATTTACAATTAAATTTAAACAGAAACTCAAAAATTCAAATCAAGTTTGAGTTATAAAATGAAACTCGTCAACTAAATTTTTTTTGACTTGACTCGATCTGATCAAACGCTCACCTCTAACGTATACGCTCTATAGATATAGATACTCAAATTCATGACCTATAAAGAATATAATATTTCCTTTAACTATTAAGTCATTTTATGAATTCTTTATGATGGAATTATTAATATATTATAACTGAAAAAAATATATATAACTCAAGCTATCTATTATAACTGAAAAAAATAAATTTCGTTTCTGAATTTTGTTCCTTGAGTTTTATAGAAGTAATACAATTACAACTATAAAATCAAAAAATAATAAAATAAATTATTATATTTTTAGTTGATTGAATAATAATATATAAAAAGAAAATTTAAGATCATGTCAATATTATTGGAGACGAAATTATATGAAAAGGTAAGAGAGAGAGAGAGATGATGAGATTGAGGAAGGCTAGAAATGGGAAAATTTATCAGAAAAATAAATTCTGTGGATTTTGGAGTCTTGTGCGGTAAGAGTTGGCAGCCAAAATTGAGCTTCACGTGTTTTATTTATTGTATTCTTTTTTCCGAATAATTTTAACAATTAAAAAGATAATTGTTATCTTTAAAATTTTTGAATTTGAACAAAATATCTATAAATGTATTTAAACGTTCATTATCAAATAGTTAAAAGTTTTTCGAATAGCTAATACATTATAATAACCTTAAATTAATTAAAAAAACTTTTTGTTTTATTTTTTATCATAATTGTTTATTTTAAAAAATCAAATAAATAATTAAAAACAAAAAACTTATTAAACGACGCTAATTATTTCATTTATTTTCTTATTATTTATAATTATTTTACATTTTTAATAATTTTACGAATTTTACACATTTTAAATAAATTTTAATGTTCCTAATAATTACTCGAAATTTTATATAAAATTTAATATTTTTCTATAATTTTAAAAATTATTTTTTGAAATTTTGTGTAACATGATAAAATAACTAATACAAACATTGTCAAAGGATAAACTAATTGAAGTCAGTTTAACAAATTTATAATTTTTATTGGAAATGATTTAATTACAATTAAAAGTAAATAATTTTTTAGTTTGAAGTTCAAAATATGATAAAGATTATTCAATTTTTTATTACTTATACTCAAATATAAATAGAAAAACCAACTTCTATGATATGAACAATATTAAATTATTTTATAATATAGACATGGAAAAAAATAATTCATACATGATAAAAATTACTCAAATATATTAGAATTAATATAATTTGCACTATAAATGTAACATGAATTTATGAATTAAGATAAAACTATGATCCTTTTTAAATTATTATTATTATTAGAAAATTTAATGAAAAAATCGTATAGCTTTCATAATTTAGAAACATCCACTTATTCTTTAGGTTTAATAAAAATTGAAAAAATAATCCGAGGAAGCTTACTTATTAAGTAGAAGTTAAATTGAAATATATATATTTATCTCCCATTATTAGTTATTCTTGTATTTCTTTTCTCCCATTTTTATCCAAGACTTTTTAAACTACAAAATGATAAAATCTTATGTTTTAGAATTATTTTGTAACTGTAAATTAAATATAATTAAACCATATTCTTAAAATTAAGTGCAAATTAAATATCTAAGACTTATCCTTAATCCAATTTATTGAGGTGAAACCGTGAAGTTATGTTTTTATTTGAAAATGAATTAATAAAAATTTACGTTAAAAGTTTTAGTAATAAAGGAGTTGATTAAACCAACAATTAGTTGGTTTAGTGGGATGATATACTAGATCTCTTAAATAAAATCAGATATTCGAATCCTATGATTTATGAATTGAGCAAACTGAATTAGGAGGGTCGCCCTCACCTTTGCAATACCCGATCCGAATTAGTCAATCAATAAATCGAATATCGATAGTTATATAAAAAATAAAAGAGTTGATTAAAATTGAAAATGAAAAATAGCATAAATCAATCAATCGTATAAGCCTTAGTTTTTTTTTTTTTTTTGCGGCCGCTTTCTTGTTTTCCCCATCTTTGTTGCTGGACAACATAATTTAGTGGTGGTAGTCGACTGTTAATATTTCCCCCTTATGTGTTGATTTGTCTTGTTTTAGATTTTTTTATGAAACTGGATATGTGATTTATTTTAGGAGATAATTTTTTGATTTATAATTGTCAAATGTCTTTCAGTAATTTGATTTCTTGTTATGGTTCGTTTATCAATATAGTCAAATATATTTGAATCTACATTTTGTCTGAGTTTTTTAGATGTATTTTTAATATGTTTATTGTATGTGTTTATTTTTTTGTGTCAATAATTATAAGAAATGTCTTAATTATCTGTTTAGTTTTCTCTTATAGTTATAAATATTTACTGTAATTTTGAAATTTTTTTCTTTAAATATAAAAAATAATATCAATTCTAAATTTAGATTCATTTATCAAAAGTGTTAACATATTGTACCATTAAACACTTGTTATTAATGTAAAAATTAATGTTACATTGAATCATAATTACTATTTTTAAAATTAGATTAATTTTTGTAAGTGTTTTTCAGTTATTAGGGTAGAGAATAGAAAGAAAAAAAGAAAAAGGAAATGATAAATGATAACGGTTGTGTATAAAAATACAATAACAGTAAATAATTGATCAAAGGTGTAATCACTATTTTTTTTTTTACCGAAACAAGCCTCCACGTCAGCAGCTCCACCCGTGGTCTCTCCTGCTCCACAGCCTTGGCCTCGTCACCACACAAAACAACATCAACTTTTTTTTATATATATATTAACAGATATAAAAAAATAGAGGGAGAAGAAAAACCGGGGGAAAATATCATTTGTAAGGGAACCATTTTCTGGAATAGAAGAGAAAAACGGCTGTGAGCTTCTCCCTTTCATTTTACCTTTTTTTTTGCTTTCTTTCTTCCTTGTTTTTGAACCAGAAAAGAAATAGAGAAGTTTACCTTATACGATTACCTCGAGATCGTCTGGTGTTGAGTAGTCGGCCGAAAGGGGGGTCGGTTTAGGCTTCTAAGTCACAGTTTTTGGGGTATTATAAGTTTAGAGGAAGCTAGGTTGCATTTGGGTTTCGGTTTTAAGAGACCGACCACCGCTAGTG